GAAGAGGAGAGAGAAGAAAGAGGACGTAGAAAGAAAAAGGAGCAGACAAAGAACATCTTTAAAATTCAGACAAAGATTAGTGTAGAGAACGGTACAACGCATCGTCTTCTTTCTCTAATAATTTAATGAAACGTAAAAGCCCCGCGCTACGCGCAGGAGGGGGGGGGGGTAACTGAATTCAGACGAGGATTATTTTCGAGAACGGTACAACGAATCGTCTTCTTTCTCTAATAATTTAATGAATCGTAAAAGCTTCCGCGCTACGCGCGGGAGGGGGGGGGGGTAACTGAATTCAGACGAGGATTATTTTCGAGAACGGTACAACGAATCGTCTTCTTTCTCTAATAATTTAATGAATCGTAAAAGCTTCCGCGCTACGCGCGGGAGGGGGGGGGTACTGAATTCAGACGAGGATTATTTTCGAGAACGGTACAACGAATCGTCTTCTTTCTCTAATAATTTAATGAAACGTCAAAGCTTCCGCGCTTCGCGCAGGAGGGGTTGGGGGGTTGGGACTACATTTAGACAAGAATTAAGAGTCGAGAACGGTACAACGAATCGTCTTCTTTCACTAATGATTTAATGAATCGTAAAAGATTTCGCGCTTCGCGCGGGAGGGGGAAAACTGAATTCAGACGAGGATTAAGAGTCGAGAAATGTACAACGAATCGTCTTGTTTCTCTAATGATTTAATGAAACGTAAAAGCTTCCGCGCTTCGCGCGGGAGGGGGTAACCTGTATTCAGACGAGGATTAAGAGTCGAGAACTGTACAACGAATCGTCTTCTTTCTCTAATGATTTAATGAATCGTAAAAGCTTCCGCGCTTCGCGCAGGAGGGGCCGGGGGGGGGGGGGGCGGTGAAAATGAATTCAGATGAGGATTATTTTCGAGAACGGTACAACGAATAGTCTTCTTTCTCTAATGATTTAATGAATCGTAAAAGCTTCCGCGCTTCGCGCGGGAGGGGGACAACTGAATTCAGACGAGGATTAAGAGTCGAGAAATGTACAACGAATCGTCTTGTTTTTTCTAATGATTTAATGAAACGTAAAGCTTCCGCGCTTCGCGCGGGAGAGGGGAACCTGTATTCAGACGAGGATTAAGAGTCGAGAACTGTACAACGAATCGTCTTGTTTCTCTAATTATTTAATGAAACGTAAAAGTTTCCGCGCTTCGCGCGGGAGGGGTGAACCTGAATTCAGAAGAGGATTATTTACGAGAACGGTACTATGAATCGTCTTCTTTCTCTAATAATTTAATGAAACGTCAAAGCTATCGCATTTCGAGGAGGAGGGAGGGGGAAACTCGCCCCTCCCTGCACCCCCCCCCCCGCATTACGTCACTGCTGGTCACCATTACGTTCCAATTTTTGGCTCGCATAATTTCAAATTTGGGCCCCCCCCCCTAAGAAATCCTGGATCCGCGCCTGTCATCAGGGGCATCTTTTCATGAAACCCGACACAAAAACAAGTTCTCCGACATCCCACTTAAACGCGAGTTGAATGTTGTTATAAAGTATGCATTTCAATGGGATGTCGACGAACTTGTACTTGATAATATGATGGTTTGGTGAAACGATGTCCCGATCACTCAGTACCAAAAACATGAAAACATCGAAGAAAATAGATCGCTATACCGTCGAAAGGATATGAAATTCATATCAACTGTGCTTTGGGGATGCGAGATGATTTGTCTTTATAATGAGGGTAGGGAATTTAGGGATATCGAAGGCTGTGATTTAATACGTTAAACATCATCATTCAGAGAAACACACACTCTGTCATTACGTTTGGAATCATGTACGTGGCTTCTTTAAAAGGAATGATGCATGCAATCTCATTATATTTTGAACCCTAAAAGCGATAGGAGGCTGGAGGGGAAGGGGGGGGGGAAGTAAAATAAATTCAAAACATTTCTGAATTATGAATTATAAAAGTAAAAACTCCTCAAAGGTGAAATTGAAATTTGTCACTTGTCAGTAGTCTTGTTAAAAATGACTGTACAAGTTTGTCCAAAGATCCAAGTAACTTAGGTTTGAAAAAAATATATTCATATGATTTTTCTCCATGTAAGCTCTGATGTGTTTTAGTATGACCAAGAGATATAATTATAAAATGCTGCTTAATCTTTATGTGTCATAAAAGAGGAACTATGTGGAATGGTACAAAATAGATTCATAAGGATACTTACCACTCAATCCACACTCTACAAGAAAAGTAATGTCACAAAATTATCGATTATATAATTGTATATTTTTGGAAGTTAAAATATAGGCCTAATATGATAAGAAAAACTTATCAAATTACACGAGAATGGTAAATTAGGAAAGAAGGGTTTCGCAAACTAGAGGAAATTTGATACGTGTTTTGTCTCGAGGCAGATAATAAAATTCCATCGTAATTTCAATGACATTCATTCCTCCCTCCCCCCTTGAGAAAAAAAAATGTTACAAATTGCTCCAATCCCTGCTGAGTATGATTCGGAGAGCGGACGAAATTTTGCCAATTTCCTTTAGTTAGAAGACGGGGGCGGGGGGGGGGGCGGTCAGTTCTGAACAAAAAATACATTTCCCTGGCGTATCCAGTTATCTTTTATAAGTGGGGGTGTTATGTATCTTTGATGGCTACAGTATGGACCCTGTCATGCAGCATGTCTTCAAACGCTGTTTCCGGTCCCCACATTAAAATAAAAGAGAGAAAAATATCAGCCGTTTTACGGCAATCAAAGGCTAACTGACTGCCGTGTATTGTTTCGAGACCACGATATATTCTTCTATGGAAAAGGGGAAAATTATCATTTTAATTTCTGTTATTTTCAACAACAAAAAACAAGAAAAAAGCCGATAGTTCACAATAACTGATCTACCATCATTTTCACTCTCAACTGAGAAAAAAAAAACACTATTCTTATATCAAACGTACACCAGATTTAGTGAATCCCACATACAAAAAAAACTCTTGCATGCAATGATATATCCACATCTTCATAAGATATCAAAGGCGTGGTTCTGGAAGAATGTTGGAAGTGGGGGTGGGGCTTTGGATTCTTGCTCTTACTTTTACACGTGCCTCGCTTACATTTATGTATAATTTAATTAAGGCCCCAAGCCCCCCCCCCCCTCCTTCTCGAATCCGCTACTGAGATAGCATGTGATTGACAATCGTAAGATATCTAACGAACGTTAGCTGGAGTTCGATTTTTCAATAAAAAATCCACCACTTAAAAATAGGTTTATTTAGATGTGTAGCGCTTAAAATATTGCATCGTTATGTTGCGGTATGATTGCAGCCAACGAGCATTTCCAAAGGTTTAAGTGTCATCTTTTGCTTTCTCTCTCAACCCCCTTTTCCTCTCTTTCCTCTTTTTATCTCTCCCGCTTATTTTTGTCTTTCTACCGGTATGTCCTGTTCATGATTTCCATTCAAAATATATCTGTTTTAAAATAATCAAATATCAACAGACTCTCCCATGATTTGTCGATATCAGGCGCGTACACAGGGGGAGGGGGTTTGGGGTTAAACCCCCCCTTTGGTAATTTTTTGTGTGTAAACCCCCCCTAAATTTCCCTAAACCCCCCCCCCCTTTTGGATTTTTGGAAAAAAAAAAAATTCCCATGACCGACCTCAAAAATATGACCTCCCCCCCCCCCCCCCCCCCAACGGAGCAAAATGTCAAATTTTTAAATTTCGATACCAAAAAAAAAAAAAAGTGTCCTCTTACCCGTTACGATTTTTTTGGACTACCAAAAAAAAAAAAAAAAGTGTCCGCTTACCCCCCCCCCCCCCCCCCCCCCCCCCCCCCCCCCCCCCCCCCCCCCCCCCCCCCCACTGAGCGACTTTTTGGCCGGCGCGATTTTCAAATTTTCGGGAGCAAAATATTTTGGGCCAAATTTTAAACCCCCCCCCCCCCTTGAAAAAATCCTGCGTACGCCCCTGGTCGATATTTACCATTATTATCTATATAAGGCTTACAAGTGGTCGATACATCAGTGTATTTAATACCTGGATCCAGTACCTGGATAGCAGATCAATATTGTTTTCGTCTTGCTCAGTCATCCGGGAACTTCAAATATCGATATCGATATCACACGAAAACGGAGCTATATTTACCGAGGCAAGTCAAATTTTGTTATTTCGTTAGTCAGCCTGATATAGATAATAATGATAATATTGTATGGCTTTGTTTTCGTGTGATACAAAAATAGCTTGCTCTCGATATGACAATATTGGACTCGTCTCCGACTCGTCCATTATTTTCATAGCTCGAGCAATATATTCTTGTATCACACTCAAAGCCATCCAATATTATATAATTATCGCTTAGGACATTTTTTTCTTCTTATCAGATTAATGAGATGAGTTGCAACTACATGTATCTGTAGCCATGGGCGTAAATTGAGTCAATGGTTTAAAAAAGGGGTTACATTTAATACCGTCACCCCCACCCCCTGGTCGCCTTCGCCATGATCACAAGACATGTTACGAACACCAGTCACGTGCTTAGCACAACATCTTATACGGGGTGTGGCTTAAGCTGGTGCAGCTAGTTAATCCACCAATCCCAGGCCAGGGATGACTATTATGCAAATAAGGATCAACGAAAGCGATGGATGGCCTTCAACAGTCCCTCGCGGTGCAGTACAGACGGGAAAGCTTCCAAAGAAGACGCACCACCGTTTTTTAGGGATCATGAGGACGTCTGTGTGAAGATTTCGCGCTCTTAGGAAAGGAAAAAAGGAAGAAAAACCAATCAAATCCGGCATCTGAAAAGCGGAAGAAAATCATCTTCTTCTCCTTCTTCACTTTGAATTTCGCTGGATTTAAGTTGGGCTTTCAGATGCATCCATCAAACGTGCTGGATTTTAACTGCCACAATTTTGACTTGTTAATACGTGAGGAAAAGGTCATCGTTGATGGACGCAGATGAGATGACTATAGTTGAGAACAATGCAGTTACCTTTTGGATATATTGTATAATTCAACATTGTCTGACGATGTAGCTTGTTGGTGAAGAGTTTTGAATGTACCTATCGGAAGTAGCTTTGATTTTCCGTAATTGCTTACGTTATACACTGAGTTACTCGCGGAGCCTAATAGATTGTTGCCTTGAAAAGTCGTAACAATTTTGGAAAAACACAATGTATCTAGTTTCCTCTCGCTTGCTCGTCACATTGACGCATGCACTCCTCGGTGGAAAAGAGGGTCGTTACCGGGATATTTTAAGTGGAGAGGAAGCACGAATCTAGAACTCGATTACAATTTATGGTAGATTGTCACTTTCGAGTGCGATCTTAAAAGCATTTTAAGAAGCGTTGACGATTAGTCGATTTCTTTCCAGCGCGCTTCGGATCGTCTGCTTACTTCACGTCAAACTTTCATCAGGTTACTTCCATTTTGTTGAGAAGGAGAGGAAGGAGATCCATGCCGTGCCAAGATGGAAGGGCTCGATCCTTTCGTGTATTCTTTCCATGATGAATTGAAAAACAAGAGCCTTGACTACCTGCTTGCTCTTCTAAACCTGACCGATACAAAGGATTTTCTAGACTTCTATGACTACGATTTCCACTACATCGCGCACGATCTGTCAACCACAGCTGATATTGTGTTAATCACGTGTTACACCATCATCTTTTTGCTTGCTCTGGGCGGGAATCTCCTTGTGATTTTCGTGGTAGCGCGCAAGAAGTACATGCAGACAGCCATCAATATCTTCTTCGCCTCGCTAGCCATCTCGGATCTGCTGATCGCTGTCTTCTGCATCCCATTCACGCTGATTGAGGCAATCACGGTGGATTGGGTGCTTGGACCATTCATGTGCAAGGCTCTTAACTACGTCACTTCTGTCGGTGTTGTCTCAAGTATCCTAGCCATGATGTCCATCGCAGTAGAGCGCCACCAAGCGATCTGTCACCCTCTGCGCTCCAGGGTGATCCAGACACCTCGTCGTGCTGTCTTCCTCCTAACCTTCTTGTGGACAATGTCTATGACCTTTGTGTCGCCGTTCCTCTTCGTACTCAAACTTGACACCAAGATTGACTCTACAACGGGTTCAAGTTACCGCTTCTGCAGGGAACATTGGGATAATCCGCAGCAGCAGAAGAACTACACGTTGCTACTAGTCCTCCTCCTGTACGTCACTCCCTTGGTCATCATGATAGTGCTGTACATGCAGGTTGTCCACAAGCTCTGGATCCGCAAACCCATCGCGCCTGCTGATTCCGTCGTGACACAAAATGCAGGCATCAACACGGCCACTTCGCTTCGGTACAAGAAGCGCGCCATCAAGATGATCCTCATGGTGGTCGGCCTCTTCTCCGTCTGCTGGCTTCCCTATCACGTCGTCGTTCTCATGCGCGACTTCTCCTTCATGCAAGACGGTGAGAGAAACCGACTCCTTTTCGCAGCTGTTCAGTTGGTGGGACTCAGCAACAGTTGTAACAACCCCATCGTATACGCGTTCCTCAATGACAACTTTAAACGGAACTTTGTGAAAGTACTGTGTCGTCACCGACAATTGGCTAAAGCGAAGGGTTCTTCAAATAATAACGTCGTTGTTAAACCATCTGCGATGGCCACCATATAACAAGACTTGATATCACCAACAATTTGCTAAAATGAAGTGTTCTTCAAACGATAACGTCATTGTCAAACCATGTGCGATGGCCACCATATAACAAGACTTGATATCACCAACAATTTGCTAAAATGAAGTGTTCTTCAAACGATAACGTCATTGTTAAACCATCAGCGATGGCCACCATATAACAAGACTTAATATCACAAACAACTTGCTAAAATGAAGTGTGCTTCAAACGATAACGTTATTTTCAAACCAGGATCAAGGTCAACGAACGAAAACTTGTGCATTGTTAATCCTCACGATAATTTGTTTGTTTTTGTTTTTGGTTAATTGTATTTTTACAATGTTTTGGCATTGGAAGCCATACTTCTCTGTCGGTAAGAGTAGTTCACACAGTCAAAATAAGCAAAGAAAATTGAATTGAAGGAAAAAATGCTGTAAACCGTTCTTTAGTCATCTTTTATTATTTTGACTTTACCCATTTGTAAATTAACAGTAGTTTGTTATGACTATGTTAATATACATCTATCAATATTCATCAATATGTTTGACATTTTGGTATGGAATTTTGGAGGCAATCACAGCTAAGACTCCATTGGATATGTTGTCTTCATCAATGTAGAATACTGGTATGAAATATGGGAACGTATTCAGTCTTATTTTTTAAATAAAAATGTAACATCATTTTCTTCCGGTCATTTCTTGCACATATTTATAGAGCATTCAAATATTAACGAAACTCCAGAGCAAAGTGGCATAGGCGATACAGGGAAGAATCTCATCAAACAATAATTCTCCATTTCTCCAAAAGTACCAACCAAAGCATTGAAAGCACATTTTCACCGTCAAAACTTTTTTGATCTTCGTCGATTATGTTTTATTAATATTTTAAGAGATATGACGGACTATCCATCCAAAGCATTTATTCTGGGACGTTAACCCATTGCCTACTGGAACCTAGTGGTTCCTGTATTACGTCTGTAGAGAATGAGAGAGTTCGGTAGTCAACAGGTTAAGGTACCCGTTGAATGCAAGTACCGCGTGCAGTATTCAATTAGAATAGCCAGTTGTCAAAGCTGATGATTCCTAACAACCTATACCAAACTATATTTTATTCGATAAAAAAAATGTTAAGCATATTGAATCCCCAAAAAGCTCCGGCTATGGAGTATAACTTTCGACCTCCTCTATGTAGTGTATTGCTATTTGTTGTCATTTTGAGACCTGTTTATTTAATATTTGCAATGTTACTCCATGTGTGATGATAAAGGGAGGGGAAGGAGGGGGGGGGGCTAAATGAAATCCTGCAAAATGTATGCTATTGTTTGCAACCAACGTGATGAGATGCAAAGCTTGCTGTGGTAGTATATATTCTCTCTCTTTTTAGACTTTTGCTACACATTGTTTGTTTTAAAAATGATAACGTAACAACCACTCTTCTGTGTTCAGGTCTAATATGCTTTTGGGTAAGAAATTAGGTCTGTTTTCATTAGCTTTAGTTTGCCAAATAAACTGCTATTTTCAGACTCGGGGTATTATCCTGAAGCTCGAAATTGCGTCTTTTCCAGACCGATACGCTCATCACAAACTAGCTCGGACGGGTACAAATTAGCCCGCTATTTCCCAAATAGCGGGATGTTTTGAAAATAAGACCAAGATTTCTCGGGATATTTTCTCGACCTTAATATCTCCCGCTAATTGCAACTGCGGGCTGATGAAAACGCAAACCCACTAGTTAATTTGCAGTCGGGATAGTTAATAGCGGGTTATTTAGCAAACTTGAGCTGATGAAAACAGGCCTAATTGAGACTTTTTCTTCTTCTTCATTTTGTTGTTTAAATCTGAATCAAATTTTTATTCGAGCGCAGTAAATGCCAGATTTCCTCAAGTTGGTTTAACGGTAAAATTGATTACTGATCGTGGGATCGCATTGATTGTAAAAGCAATCGGGAATGGTGGTTATGACTAATTGCTGTATTCTGTAAAGTTACAATTGGAATGGCCGAAAACGAAAAGAAAACGAATCAATCTTGATGAAAACCGCCAGTACCGCATACAGAGTTCAACACTCTCTTTCAAGACTCAATAGTAACATCAGAAACACTCTCTCCATCTTTTGTAAGACACCCTCTAAAATCATTGGCAATATATACTGTAAATAATATCTAAATCTTTGAAAAGAACGATGTCAAATTGAGAAAAGAATTTGAAAATACCATACGTAATACTGTACATTCCAAATTGGCGTAGGCCTAATCATTACGATTTGGACATCACAGTTTTGGACAAATTAACATGCTTTAAGATTAAACCAAACTCAGTATGCCGTAACGAGAGTGAACATTTCAAAATGAGCTCGAAAAGGAGTTATTTTTAAATACACTTTCGACTCAACAATACATTATGCGAGATTTAACTTCAGACATCCCCCTCCCCCCCCCTCCCATCTTCTCCGGTGTATTGCACACATAAACTTATATCCCACTCATTCTCAATGATCTTTTTCGAAATTCGTTTATTTACTTACGTTTTTAATCATCTCCTTTTAAAGTCTATTTTCTACCAGTTCCTTTCATCCTTTTCCCTTATTTATTCATATTCTTGTTTTCTTTCTTTTTAAAATAGTAGGCCTATTCCTATTACATTTCATTTCATTTAATTTTCTGCTGTCATGGTAACTGGCAGGTTTTAAAGCGTATCCTTATCCGCACTATTCACTATCTTTGATATCCCTATTCGATCCTATTTCCAATCGAACGTGATCATGACGGAAATAGTGCTCATTATTGTCATTGATTTATTCCTATTTTTTTTTCTTTCTTTTTTAAATACCATTCCTATTACATTTCATTTTATTTAATTGTCTGCTGTCATGGTAACTAGCAGGTATTAAAGCGTATCCTTATCCGCACTATCCACTATCTTTGATATCCCTATTCGATCCTATTTCCAATCGAACTCGATTTGATCATGGCGGAAAGAGGGCTCATTATTGTCATTTTTACGCTCCCGAGGAAGTTTGTAATCAATGCTATATCATTGGCTCCAAAGGCAGTTTTATATCACAGTGTTCAGTACAACAGATATATGTGTTACTCTATTTTTAAGAACACATTTTGGAAACATGTATTTCAAAAAGGGTTATTTAAGACAAGGTAATTTTGCTTTTGACGGAGTTCCTTTTAATTTAATTGATGTTTCGTCATATATATATATATATATATGTATATTTTCTGGCTATTAGGTACATTTAAAATCAATCTTTCAACTTGTGTCCACTGTGTCTCTACATTTATTTACCTATTTTCATTTGCCTTTGTACCCTGTCCTCGTCATTTCTTAAAAAACTCCACACAGCTTCATAAATTATTGATGATCATAGATAATCACTTTTACCAACAATATTCACTTATATCAGGACGTACCTAAGTTTCAAGGGGGCTTATCATTACAAGCCACGCTTTTCAATAAGCCCCTCATTTTCACATGTGATAAAAACAGTTTTACCTTCAATAATGTTCAAACTATCAAATTTATTCAATTGCCAATGATGCAACTATTAAACTAATGTAATGTTTATGATATTGTTTACAGATGTAATATCCTCCATTTTGTTATATTGTTTGTTTTCTGTACACATTCCAGCATGTGAAAGAAATATATTAAATATCAATTTCTGAAAATGTCGATCCGACGATCCGTCTGCTGAGAGCCAGAAGGTCTGAATTCCGTTGAAATTCAATTAGTCAACGCCATTATGGCACTCACAAGGTTATGTAATGATGAAGCCCGAAGGAGCCTCATTGAACGCGAACTTTTAACATTGCTGTGGACTTATCACGCGATTTTCAGTTTATTTCAGATGAATATTCATGCTATTTCAGTTTTTCACCCTATAGGCCATTTTCGTAGTGTAACCAAACATAATGCATGCGCGTTTGCGAAGTACCTTGATATGAATTAATATGTTATTCTCCTGCTACACATGACTGTATGTCTGTAGTCATAAAATGATAAACATAATGTTTCGTTGGGTAGGATATGCTATCATGTTCGTTCTTGCTAGTAACAGTTATTATATGCAATTTGAATTCTGACTATTAGAATACGGTCAATAAGAACAGGTTAGTGAAATAATTCGTATCGAGACACTTCACAGAGACGTACGCATTCAAATTCAGTAAATGACCAAATTGAGACACTCGCCGTTAGTCTTATCTTTCGGACCATTTGCTCTGAGCGAATGTTATTACATCATTGTGTCCATAGGACCATGATGGAGGCATAGGACTGATGAGGTGTAGGACCCACTTTGTCACCACTCATCAGACCCAAAGTTATCTCTATCACCTTCCATAGATGCAGCTTCAAAATACATTAAGCATGATGAAACAAATCAATAACCAGAGGTTTATCTTTAGCATTTTTCGAAGGATGTGCATTAAATTACAAGTAGACAATATTATCATGGGAAATAACCATTTTGATTCACAATGCTATATTTCATTATACATGTTGTGGTTTGACTCTGATACACTTATTTTAATGGTTGTGGGCAGTTTGTTCTTTGCAGTCATATTGAGCTCTCAAATGCTGCTTTAATTTTGAGTTCTCTCATTTTCTTAAATTTCAGATTTGTTTCATTAGTATTTGAAGAAAATATGCAGTTTTATTGATACTATTTTTTTTTTCTTGAGGTGATGGATCACTGATGAATTAATTTTCCGAAGTTATTCTATTCTCCGAACGCCTTGTACAAGAATGTTGCCTACTGTCTTTTTACATAATTATAGTCCCATACTGTGTTAACGAAGTCAACTTCATATAATTGTAAAATGACGATCTATTTGAAATAAAATAATTAAGATATCAAACTTACTACGATGAATCTATTCTTGTTTATACATCAGTCGAATCATTGATTGTGGAACTGAATAATGAATCAATTTCACTGTGATTGGTAACGAGGTCGCGAAGACTTTCAAGAAATCAAATCAAACGCAATCATGTCAATACCCTCATATCACTATGAACTTGACGGACAAAGAAAGAGGACAAAATATACAGCTCCTCAGGAGGTAGACAAAGGAACATCCCTTCGCTGCTATTATGTACAAATGTGTAGAACACGTGTCACATGCATATTCACATGTTCTACACATTTGTACATAATAGCAGTGAAGGGATGTTCCTTTGTTCACCTGGAAAACTGTATATTTTGTCCTCTTTCTTTGTCCGTCATATTCATAGTGTATACTGCTTATAGAACTTATATTCGGATTACGTAATGCGTCATTGTCATGTTCGCCTATTATAATAGATGACAAACAAGGCTATGTAGACTGCCTTAGGCGTTGTGGCGTGCGCCTGTAATCCAGCTAAAAGTGGAAGTTACAAACTGATTCAGCCGAGGGCGCAGGTTCGAAACTGATACCCCATTCACAGTGGCCTCAAACACCGCGACAGCAGCGGGACTGTCCCGCTGCTGTCGCGGTGTTGTCTTCAGTGTGAAGGCTCGGACCCGTTATAAACTATCGCGGGATAACACCGCCTCGCGATAACGCCGCGACAAACTATCGCTAGGTTCGCCTAGCTACAGCAGCGGGACAGTCCCGCTGCTGTCGCGGTGTCGCTGTCAGTGTGAAGGCTCTCCGCTATAACACCGCGACAAACACGTGTGATTTGTTTACTTACCTATCACTGACCTCTTTTCTCCAGCAATGGGGAACATAAAGTGAAATAGAAATAAAGTAACCAGTGGATTCAAATTGATTTTATTATTATGTAGATATTATAATTATCGAAATAAAAATATTTCACACTTCAAAAAATTAAAATATTCTTACTGGAAGCAATAAAAATGCTAGTTTTTTAAAAAGTAAAGTAAAATGTGTAAAGTACAGCTAGCGCGCGCAATTTCAAGCAA